AAAAAAAATCACATAAGAACAATTTTTCGCGTTTCAAATGTGGCTATGAACAGCATGCATATGCTATGAGGTCAACCGGTTGTCGATTCTAAAGAAGCTGCCAACTGTCTGCCAATGCCAGTTGCCTCCCCTTTAGCTCCCTCCAATTCCCCTAACCAACCAGCCAGCCAGCAAGTCAAGCGTTTAAGCCCAAAATCACACAAGCACTTGAGAACAAGTCGGGTAGCTGGCTGCAGCTGGCTATGTTGCATGCTGCGCGCGGCACACATTGCAACTGCAATTATCAATTTAATTTGAACAACAAATTCTCACACGGCCAATGTCAGCGAGTCTTGAATATTTAAGTGGCCAAGTGCTTTGGGCCAAGTGCCTCAGATGCAGCCAAGCCAAGCCAATGCAACATGCCGTGCAGCACACAAGAAGTCACAATCTGAGTGTCTGTTTATTGCTGTTGTTGTTGCAATGATTATCAAAAGATGGCTCAAGTTTGGTGCAAAGGTGTCGTATATCGAATCGAGCACCACGTGTCGTATGAGCAATGTCAAATTAAAGCTATGAATGTCTGAACTTTGCATTGTTTTGCCTATTAACAAATGTACCTCACGGCCGTGTACTAATTAAAAACGACTGCATTAGAATTGCGAATTCAAATGGAATTTTTAGCTGGCATTAAGTTTAAAAAGCCTACCCCAAGGCATTGTATGGAGCGCTTACATTTAAATTGTATGCATTTCGTTTATGTAGATGATATACACATTAGTATGCGTAATTGCTTATGAAAGATGTTTTTCGCTCTAGAAACCAATTCAATGCGAATTTGACTATTGATTGCTCGTTGAAGCCAACAGAATTGTGCTTGAATGTTGCTGTTTTTGTTTTATTTTATTCATTTCTTATGCGTTGCTCTTTGTTTTCATTTTGTGGCGATTTGCTTCCGGTTCGCTTTTTGGCTTGCCTTTGTATCGATTTTTTGAGTAGCAGCTGAAGTAGCACAACTATCGAAGGTCGTTGGTAATGAGGCAGCTGCCTAAAGCTGGTCCATAATTAGCCGAGCAGCTGGAAGGCGGGTGGCAGGTGATAAGCATGGCGGGGGGTGGGCCTGTGGGTTGCCATTTATGAAGAAAGCCAAGAGACATGCTCCGCATAGCAAATCAGCCTGCTTTGCATCTGAAAGCTGCACACACACACACACACACGCGAATACATAATAGAGCTGTCAACAACTGGCTCTGACAGGCCATTAATAAGGAAGCAAACTATGGAGATGATTCATTTCTATTCCGTAAACATACAGGCCACCATAAATACTAAGCTGTGAGCTTTGATCTTTTGCAGATGGCACCGAACATAATAGGCAGCACCTTCATTTTAGCCGAGACGGCCATTGCCGACACGAACAACAACAAGATGTCAACAACAACAACAACAACAACGGCTGCAGCAGCACCTGTTAAGGCAGCGCCCGCCAAGCTGGCAAGCCCTGTGTCAGCTGTCGCTCCCCAAACGGATGCAAAGCCGGCAGCAGCAGCAAAGCCCTTCAAGGCCGAAATTGTGTATCACAACATTGTGCTCTTCATAATCTTGCACTCGATGGCACTGTATGGACTCTATTTGATACCAGCCGAGGGCGCTTACCTCGAGATACTGCCCAGTGAGTGGCCGCTGTGCCTGTTAGCCGGTTAGCCGGTCAGGCGGGTCAACTAGACCACTAATTGGTTGTTCTATCTATTCCAGTTTATCTGTTTACGTTCTTGGGCGGCTTGGGCATAACCGCTGGCGTGCATCGGCTGTGGTCGCACAAGGCCTACAAGGCGAAAATGCCGCTGCGCATCTTTCTGATGCTGTGCCAGTCGTTGGCCTTCCAGAACAGCATCTGGGAATGGACGCGGGATCATCGTGTGCATCACAAGTTCACCGATACAAATGCCGATCCACACAATTCGCGACGCGGCTTCTTCTTTGCTCACATGGGCTGGCTGATGTGCAAGAAGCATCCCGATGTTGGCAGCAAGGGCAAACAGATTGATATGAGCGACATTGAGGCCGATCCCGTTGTGATGTTCCAGAAGAAGTGAGCTCCAGCAGTCCGCTTAGTTTGAATGAGCAGGATTCTAACTTTCACTCTCTCTCTCTCTCTCTCTCGTTTCCTTTACCCCATTCAAACAATTTTAGATACTATTTTGTTGTGATGCCTATTTGCTGTTTTGTTCTGCCCATGCTGTTGCCATACTATCTGATGGGCTCCTCGTTGAAGGTTTGCTTCTTCAGCTGCTCCATGCTGCGCTATTGCCTGTCTCTGCACGGCACCTGGCTGGTGAACAGTGCGGCCCATTTCTATGGCATGAAGCCGTACGATGTGAACATTAGCTCCGTCAACTCCAGACTGGTCTCAAACATCACCTTCGGCGAGGGCTGGCATAACTATCATCATGTCTTCCCCTGGGACTACAAAGCAGCCGAGCTGGGCACCTACAATGGCAACTGGACCACGGCCTTTATCGATCTGATGGCCAAAATAGGTAAGTCATTGGCCAAACCGTATAAAGCTTAGCGATCTAATGCCACAATATTCCCTCAATATAGGCCAAGCCTATGATCTGAAGTTCGTCTCCAAGGAAATGGTCTATAAGCGGGTCATGCGCACCGGCGATGGCACCCACATTGCCGCCATGCTGGATGCCAATAATAATAACAGCAGCGAAGTGCCCACAAATGAGCTGGTGATGCATTTGGATCATGATCTGGAGGAGAATGTCATCTGGGGTTGGGATGATAAAGACATTAGCGAGGAGGATCGCAAAAGCGCCTCAATTGTGAACAGTGTCCTAGAAAGTAAACAGGATTAGAAAAAAAAAAAATGTTAATGATTGCGTCTCTGATGCGTTTAATGCCCCTAACATATTGATAATTATGCGCGCCTCTCAATGGTCTTGAAAATTGGAACTTTTAACATTTCACAATAATATTCATATAATTGTCCATGCCCCAAACATGGTGTTGGTTACAAGCTTACAACAAATTTAACCAGAGAGTCCGCTTCAAGTCGAACTGTTTACATGGCTCAGCAGCGCATCGGGCGCAATGATAGAAATGGCTTCAATTCCAAAAAAAAGAAAAACAAAACAAAACAAAATAACAAACAAACCGGAACATATTCGAGATAAGTCCAAATTTGTAAGAAACAAAAAACAACTAACAAAAGCAGCTCTTTTTAAACGTTTTTTTTACCACTTTATTACATGCAAATATTGTTCTATGATGAACACTTGACCCTATAAATATTGTAACATATATGTTTTAATGACGCAAGAGGTTCTAGAGTTAACTGTACTTAATAAGGTTTACCCATTAAGTCTCGTAATTCTCGATTGGAGAGTGTAAATTGTTTTTAGTTATTAGGTGTGTAGGATATTAAGCATTAAGACTATTTGTATATTTAATCACAACAATTGTAGAAGAACAAAATTCGAAAAACAAATCGCTAAAATTCCAAAAAAAAGAAAAAATATCAAAAAAAAAATATATATATATAACGCTGTCTTTCGTGTTACACTTAGTCACGGGATTTAGGCACAGTCTGGCAATCAAATAAAACGGTTTTCTTTTTGCACATTTACAGGAAACTCTATATAATATTCTTAAAAGTGCCCTGTACTCGGGGGTCAAATGGTATATCTTCCTAAGTTCCCTTATATGAATCCCAGAACAGCATGTAGAGTAGAGTCGATAACTCCTCAGATAACATCCTCGTTTGTCGAGATTCGATTAGCAGGCATATTTTTTAAAAGAGCTGTAGAGAATCCAGATTGGTTTCTAGTATTAGTACACACAAATAAAAGATATATTATTTTATGAAAGTCTTCACGCTAAAATCAAAATTAATAATAAATGTAGAAAATATTCAAGAGTGAGATTTAGCCAAGGCAAAGAGTATCTGCTGGTCGTGCACTCCGCTGCTTGTATATTACAGTTAGAATCACATTAGGCAGGCATTATAATTATTATTAATAATTTTTTTTTCAGGTTTTGCTTGAAAACCTTATTCGTGGTTTCTTTTTGGTTGATTGGGAAGTACCAATAGCTTAAGTGTCATTGTTGTCATTGTTGTTGTTGTTGTTGTTGTTGTTGTTGCCATTGTTGTAGTTATGGCTATCGTTGTTGTTAATAAAACTAGTTGTCTTTGTGTTGTTGCTTTAGACGCGCGTGCACCCATACATTTTTAATGAGCTGCGCAAAAAAAAAGAAGAAAAATACAAAAACTCGCATATTTATCATTTAAAGGTCTTATTGAGTTTTAGAAAACGTATTTTTAGAACTGACGCAAAATTATTCAACTCTGTGTTGGACTTAACATAAATAATTAATTAAATAAAAACCTAAATTTTATAATTTAATTAACATTCTAGCCATAAATTTGTATTTAACAATTTATTAAAGTTTGCGCAAGCTGTTAAAACAATGCCGTTTTTAATATTGTTTTTTTGATTGAGCCACTTTTTCTAACCTGTATATAAAGTTTGTTCCGCGTCTGCTTCGAGTCTACTCCTTATACGGATTTGGGTATCTATAGAAGGTTAGATTTATTAGAATTTTAATTATCAGAATATTCTCTTATATAATCTCAACACTAGATGTTAGAGGAGGTTCGATCCAAATGATTTTTTTGTTAAGATAATTGAGACAATTGTAATTCATGTGTGAGACAAATTATTTTGATATTTTAATTTTTACATTTTATGCCAGATAAATGGACCATCTAATATTAAATATCCAAACTTTTTGAGTATTCACAAATTATAAACAGTTCAAAAAATGAAGAAAAATAATGTTCGCTTCGGGTTTTTGCACAGAATTTATTTATGTTCTTTTTTCGCGATTCGAGTTTCAGGGTCAAGAAAATTGAAATTCTTGACGCGAAGCAGCTTGGCTTCCAGCCAAAAAAACGAAGCAAGTGAGTTAAGTAAAGTCATAGGACAAGAGACAGCCTTTATTGGAGGAGCATTGGAATCATACAACACATAAATTTTAATTACATTTTTGGATCAGTGAAAGCCATCGGTATAGCCATAGCTGATGTGCTGCGGCTGGTTGCTCGCGCTGGAAGCGGAGGCCGAGGCGTACGCATAGAGCATGGCGGCCAAAAAGGCGCCGTTATTCATGAAGAGCGATAGGATTGTGGCCATTTTGAGTGTGGGCAGGACAAACGGTAACAGGCTGGCCAGCAGTATGGCGGGCAGCACCAGTATGGGCACAGCCACCTGCAACATTGTTGTCTTATAGGATTGCTTCTTCTTGCGCTTATTGAGCAGTCCACCACCGCCGGCGGAATCGCCCGCATGAATGCCGGCACCCAAGCCGACCTGCTGCTTGGAGTCACCCTCCGGCTCTGGCTCGTATGCCTCCACACTGGCGCTGGTGCCGGCAACGCCGCCGGCCATGGAAGGCAGATTCATAAGATTCAGCTGCAGCTCCTCGGTGTCGCGTCGGCGCGCGCGACCCAATCGGGATTTGATGGCTAGAAGACACAGACATTGTCAGCGGCAGAAACTCTCTTAGGGCTGAAACTCACCCTTCTTTAGGCTAAATTTGAGTTTGTTCTCTTTGCTAGGCACAATCTTGACCAGCATGCCGGGCAGAAAGTGCAGCTTGATGTCGCGATTCTTAAAGAAGCGCTGAAAGTTCTGCACCAGACGCTGGTTTAGCTCCTTCTCCGACATCTGCCGATACTTCTCCGTTATCAGGCTGCCCAGTTGCGTTTCCTGGCCAAAGAACTGATCCATAAAATCTCTGGTCATGTTGCCTGTTTGTGGCAGCTGTTTGCGCTCCTCAAGCTTCTGCAGCACAAACAGCTTTGTGCAGCGCAACATGCTGCTCTCATGCAGACACTCGTAGATGCGCATTGGTATGGAAGATCCATAATTTCGTGTCACGCAATTTGAATTTGTGGCATCGCAGGTTTTAAACGCGCGCTGCAAAGTATGCAACACAAGAATTAAGCGATGCGCCAATGTGTGTGTGTGTAGCATAAGCTAGCATAAGTTCAATATCTTGCATGTCTTTTGTTTATACATAAATATTTTTTTTTAAACCTTCTAGAGGGAATTGTAACTTTGATATGAAATGTGTAACGCATTGGAGACATCTCCAACCCCAAAAGTTGATATATTCCAGATCAGCAATAACAGCTGAGTTAATATAACAATGTCCGTATGTCCGTGTGTCTGTGTCTACGAGAACTAGTCTCTTAGCTTTAAGTTAAACGTCTTTGCATAGGCCCGTCTTTCTTTTGCAGGCAGTACATATATCCGACCGGATCACACCAATATAACATATAGCTGTCATAGGACCGATCGGTCAAGAAGTAGAATCTTCTGTGGAAAACCTATCTTTATCAAGATATTTTGACAAATCCAAGCACTTATTACTTTTACTATGCTTCTATTGTATGTGTCACAAGATCGACCTACTATGGTATATAGCTCTATAGTGAAAATCTGCAAATGCAAAACATTCTGTCTTTCAAGATATTTTCGTCAAATCTACGATCTTCAGTATTCTCACTTATCTGTAACACAGTATGGCATCTATTCATATATCTAATCGTGCAGAGAGTTGTTTTGTTTATTGTGTGACGAAATGATTTCATTTGGTTCATTAATAGCCCATAAAGTACTTATTCAGTATTAATAGTATTGTCCATAAAACCGCATCGAAGTAGGACGGATCGTGCAACTATATCACATAGATGACATAGAAACTGTTAGGTAAATACTGTGTTTGTGAGGATTTTAGTCAGCTTTCTATCAGAATCGATATACTATATAATCTGATCAGAAAGCAACACAAACGCAGTCTTAACAGAATCGAATTTATATATTTTATAGCTGCATTTTTTTTTTAAAGGGTAGCGCTTTTTTTTTTTATTCTCCAATCGAATGCTTCTAAGAAATCTATGTAATCTTCACAATAATATATACCACTATATCATTTTGCTTCTATAACAACAATCGGTCGTAAATTTTGTTGGACCTGAACACCTTTGTATATATTTAACTATAAAAATAATTATCAAGTCGGCCATCTGCTTGTCAGGGCATTCGTTGGCCACCCGAATTATACCTCTTAGTTAGAAAATTATTTTAAGATTTTATTATTTATTTTTAAAATTAATTTTTACCCAGTCTATAGCCTGCACGAGACCAACTCCCAGCAGGATATGCACAGCAATTAATGTAGCGCGCATTTTGTAATATTGTTTTTATGTATTGTTTCGTTTTTAGCCAACTTTTAATCTCGATCTGGGCACAACTGCACGAGAGCAGCAACAGCTTTGAACTGAATGCAGCGCCCAGATCGGAGTCGCCACCAATCCTGGCCAACTCTCTTGATCAGCTGCCGCTTTCGTCTGCCGCAACTGTTGGCCAACTGGTTTGCTCGAGCTCAGTGCTCAGATTTAGTTTAGCGGGTCAAAGCGGCTGCTGCCGCTGGCTTTTGCTTTGGCATTGACTTTGGCATCGGCATCGGCATCGGCTTGTTGGCCCATTTGGCTGACTTATGGCCGCCCCAATTTTTGGTCGCACAAATTTCAATGTCATGAGCCGAAAAACCAACTGGATTATCACACAATTTAATAATTGTTGTTTAAAGCATGTTTCGATTTTGTGGCACACTCTTGGCGCAGCCTTATCTTATCAGCCAACTATGTAAGCCACTTAGCTAAAGCCAACCACGAGCGTATATCAATCAGCCAAGGGGGGAGTTGCCAGCGTTTAGAAATTTGAAATTGTCGCAAAGTGGAACAAATTGTAGCCGGACTTAAACTGGTTGACAATTGGCTCGTTCAGATTGGCGGCGCCTTAATTAAGTGACTGCCAATCAAGTGAGAGTTCATTAATTAGACGCTGTCCATAATGAGATCTAAGTACTAGAGAAATTCAATAATTATTTTTGTATCGATTTTCTGCTATCTGCGACCCATTTTAAGCTGCATTTGCGACGCCGGGGGTCGGGGAGTACTTTCTATACGTACGCTTCCAAAACTGGAACCGTCGCAGCGGAAGAGCCAGCGAAAGAACCGTAAATCGTGGCTAGCTTCTGAGCTGCATACCAAATGAGCAGCCCATCAAAATTTCACTTTTCATGAAAATCAAGCAGAAGAAAAAAATTAAAACAATAAATCCAACGTATAAATATGATTGATTTGATATGATTGATGAGCCTTTCGTTGCGTTAAATAATTGCGTTGTGTATTAAATAAACGTTGTAAATAAATAATTTAAACTAAACTTAAATTATTATTTGGTTGCACGCTCGCTGAGGTATACTTTGTGGCCTGCTACCAGCTCGCTAAATCCTTCGACACGCCTCCATCTGTTACCACTCCTTCTCCAGCCAGACGGGCTGTTGTGAGTGCGAGTGCGAGTAGACAATGGGCACGGGAGCGGGCGCTGCGGCATAGGCGGCAGCGGCTGGCACGGGCAGGGCACGGGACAGCATCTGGCCAATGGCCAGCACGAGCAGTATGACACCGACGCCCAGACCCTTCATGGAGACCACTGTCAAAGCGGCCAGCAATGTGGTTATGACGCCCACAACAAAGGCGCCCGGCACCAAGGCAAAGCTAATGCGACGCAGAAAATGATGGCCAAAAGTGCGGCTCTCTGTTGGAATATAACAAAATCTGGTTAGCTTTGGTTAGTCAGTTAGCGCTTCATGTTAATTACTGACCGGCCACATCCGAGTCGTTGCCGGCCTGCTGCTGGCACAACACGAGATCGCACACCAGGCACAGACCGAGTAGCGTTAGGGCGATTTTCTGAGTGGCAGCCATTTTGTTGAGACTCTTTAATCCTTCGTTTAATCCGTTTGCTTTGAGTTGCGGCCCGTGTCCACTGTACACTGCTCCAGCACTTTCTGACAATTGAATGTGTTGTCCAAATTGACATTGGCTTTTATCAGGGCGTAGGTCTTGGCCACTCGCTGTTGGGGCTACTTGAAATTCGACAGCCGGACGTCGCACGAACGTGCGCCAAAACAAGCAATTCGTGCCGCTGCTTTGAGGAATGCCTCGCTCGATGCCCAATCTGACAACTGGTCACTTTTTTGGTATACCCTGCCATCCATTGAGAATGCTTAAAAAGAGTATGCCAGTTTCGTGCAAGGGTATGTAACAGACAGTAGAAGGTAGCTTACATGAAAACCGAAACGCTCAGGAGGGCTTTTTCTAAATTCCACCATACAAATTTTTGTTTGGATGAAATAGTTATATCATAAATGTATTGCAATAAATTTTTCACGGGCGACGCCGGGTAAAGCTATCTGAGTTATCGTGTCGATACATTTAACATGCACGTGTAGCAGGTGGATGCTTTAATATAAACTACATACATGAGGAATATTTGAATTTTTCCGCAAGTTCAACTTTATTTAAGAATATATGTTAAGGCAGCTCCGCGCTTGTTATAAGATATCTTCTAGTCAGGCTTTTGTAGGCTTCTCATTTACATTTTTTTTTTATAAATTGTTTGAATATGCATAAAGCTGGTGATGATTTTCACTGTGCACCACGGCGGTGTCGGTGGCGGTGGCAACTGCGTGCCCTTTAAGGTGCAAGCGTTGGAGTTTACTTTTGGCTTGCCTCTGCTGCCGTGTTGCACTTGGAGCTCGGATTTGAAGACTTGGACATGGGCATTCTTTCACGACGCGTGTCTATATATTGAGGGCAACGCCCACAAATGGGCGGAACCATTCGCTTTCATTTCTTCTTTTGTTTTTTCGCTGAACAATATTGATTTATCAGCTAATTGACAATGAGGCAATGCATATTAATTTTAACGTATTTAACTTACGTCGCCTCTAACGGCTTCTCATTGATAAATATGCTTATATACATATACTATATGTGTATACATACTTATCGTAGGCATTGTTCAAGTCCGCAATTCACTTTCGTTATGAACTGTTGAGACCTAAAAACGTGTGGTCTGCCTGACCTTATAAAGAAAGACAATTTTTACAAAGTTTAAAGTGTATTGAGTGCAATTTATTCTGTTATAATAGATTGGTCTAGACATAAAAAATTATAGAAATATTACAATTTTATTTTTCTATACATCTATCGATCTATAAGATAATGGCTCGCTCACCTAGAAAAACTTTCACAATATTACGGAGTATATTCATTAAAATATTATACTGTTATATTATATTGGGGAAAAATACAGATAAAAACAAAATTATTTTTCATTTTTATTTTTAATAAACTATGCCCCGGACCTGAAACCAGCTAAATAAAGATTTAAAATATTCCATAATATTTAGAGTATTATTTTAAAGTTTTTCCCGATGACACAATGTGACTCTAGCTCTTATTATTTACCAAAATTGCCCAAAAACAGGATATCGATGTCGATTTTTATCGATTGAAACAAACCCAAACTGCGCAGGCACTACGCAGGCCCCTACATCTAAAATTTCAAGTCTATAGCTCTTATATGTTCTGAGATCCATGCGTTCATACAAACGGACAGATGGACGGACGGACAGACAGACGGACATGGCTAGATCGACTCGGCTATTGAAGCTGATCAAGAATATATATACTTTATGGGGTCGGAGATGCTTTCTTCTCTTAAATGTAACGACTCTATAATCAAATACAAGGAATAAATTTAAGTGCACGAAATAAAAACAAGTAAGAGGTTCTAGTCGGGAGCTCCCAACTAGGGGATACCCTAAGCCCTCTTCTTCCAACATCAAATGCATATATATATTCTATTTTAGAAGCAACATATCATGTTTAGTGACTCTAGTTCTTATTGTTTACCAAAATTGCCCAAAAAACAGGATATCGATATCGATTTTAATCGATTGCTTGGAAACGTAGTAAGTTATCGATTATCGGAAACAAATTCGATCTGCGCAGGCACTAGGAGCACCTACATCTAAAATTTCAAGTCTATAGCTCTTATATGTTCCGCGCGGAGTTATGTCGTTTTTAAACATCATATCTCCGCGCGGAGTTATGTCGTTTTGGAACGTCATATCTCCCCGGGAGTTATGTCGTTTCGGAACGTCATATCTCCCCGCGGAGTTATGTCGTTTCGGAACGTCATATCTCCCCGCGGAGCTATGTCGTTTTGGAACGTCATATCTCCGCGCGGAGTTATGTCGTTTTGGAACGTCATATCTCCGCGCGGAGTTATGTCGTTTTGGAACGTCATATCTCCGCGCGGAGTTATGTCGTTTTGGAACGTCATATCTCCGCGCGGAGTTATGTCGTTTTGGAACGTCATATCCCCGCGCGGAGTTATGTCGTTTTGGAACGTCATATCACCGCGCGGAGTTATGTCGTTTTGGAACGTCATATCTCCGCGCGGAGTTATTACCCGAGATATTAAAAAATATCATCGAAAAAGTTTCGATTTTCGCACCGACCTCGATTTTAAAAAAATCGTGATGATTTGGAAGGTCATATCTCCTCGCGCAGTTATGTCGTTTTGGAACGTCATATCTTCCCGGGAGTTATGTCCTTTTGGAACGTCATATCTCCCCGGGAGTTATGTCGTTTTGGAATGTCATATCT